TTTTTTTTCTTTTTAAACATTAAATCGTTCCCCTAATTGCAGCACGGATGTTGCTATAAAACTGATATGCTGATCTATTAAGTTTATTGCTTTGTTACTGGGAACAATCTGGCTGGAGGGAGCGGGTGAGGACAGGTAGCATCTGTCCCCACCTACTGCCTTGGCAGCGTTAGCGTCATCTGCTAGCTTTGGCAGCATCTTGGAAGCACATCAATATGGCTTTATGTAGCCAGGGCCGCTAGTAGCTAGCATGCCAGTCACGCTCTCAGGCAACACTCACTCACAGCCTGAGCATCCACAGAGCACTGAGCCAACAGAGCTAAGCGGAACTGAGCTCGGGCTGAACAGGGAGGCCAGGTCTCCGTGGACCTGCATGAGGAAAAAGGGCCAGTGTCTGTCATCTATCCACACATCCATGGTAAGAAGTGTGGGGCCAAGTCCAGATATGAACACTGCCACCATTGTAGCTGTGAGCTTTATTTTCTTGTTTTTCTCCCCAGCAACACTTCCGTTGTGGAATGCTGAGGCTCTCATGAAATCTCAATTATTGCTGTATTATAAATCAAATCTGTAAGGTGACAGACTTTTCTGTTCATACCTGTACCACTGATATTCTGTTACCACAAGTGTTTGCCAAAAGACAGGAAGAATCAAACCTACCCATGGGAGTAATAATTGGGACTTCATCCAATGGGAACAAACTCAATTTTTTTAAATCTAAATGACATGCTTTTAGTTACACACTAACAAATAGTATTCTCCTGGAACACAGTAAAACAAAAATCTGGATGACTTGAATCAGACTTGATGTTAGAGCTAAAATGTCATACATCAATAGCAGCAAAGCCCTTGTCATTCAGAGTAGCTGAATGGCCCCGTTGGCTGAACATCACAGATCTCCAGGAATCTTATGAGAACTTCCTAACAGCAACGTCAAATCTGTACAGTGTGAGCACTGCACAACGAAGTACAAATACCGTTTATTTTACAGGAATTGATTTCATTTATTACAGGAACAGGTGACAGAATGTGCTGAATAGGCAACTGCATCTTTGAGCAACTTCCTTAAAAAGTTCCCTGTAGAGTTTTCTTATGAACTAAAGTTACATTTAGATTCACTGTTACTCATCAAAACACATAGTATGTATCCTTCAGGTCTAACAAACTTGTTGAATGCATTACCTTCCTCGTAAAACATATGCCTAATTTTTAAGTTTGGCTTTAAATTTGCAAAGCCAAAACTTAAAATTCCATAATTGTTTACATTTATGTTTATGAGCTTGCAGTCTTTGCAGGGCCTTTGCAACATATCTCAGCCATGTTATCGCAGCCTGTTGATCAGTGGAATAACGCCATTGAGAGGACTGTGTATTGCATTGAGATAAACAAAACCACTCATAGATAAACAGCTCTGTGGCACCCCAGTAGCTCTCCTAGTAAAGCATGCACACCTAGTACTAAGGCTGAGTCCTTACTGCTTAAAATAAGAGTAATGATATCACTCCTGCTGCACAACTAGCGTAATGTTCTGGAGGACAAATATTACACTATTTGAAGGGCACTTAAACAAGGCAAATAGGCAAATACCTGTATAAAACAGAAATTTTTAAATTTTTTAAATATGTGCATATCTACATAGCCAGAGAAGGGTTGTATGCTGCTTTGTGTAACTCAACTTGCAAAAAATATTTAAAAAGGGAAAGTAAAAAGGAGGAAGGAAGCCACAGTGATCTGGTGAGACAAAAAGCTGCAGGTGTTTACTTCAGTTTAGGTCAAGCAACACCTTTTGCCATGCAGTTCCTGTTCGTCTAATAATGGCTTTATCGCTGCTGCAGATGACGGTTCCTAATGGCCCACACGGTGCAGTTATTCCAGATTATTTCCTCCACAGATGAAACCAACTTCCTGCACTAATTTTGCTCCTTCTCAAAATCATATATTTTTTAGCGAGAATCTTCACAGTCCTTAATTACTTACTTTATTAACATTAGTATTAACGACCTGTGTGTACAGGCTTAAGAGAGCCAAACATATAGAGAAATAACAAGTTGTGGACAGTTATGTTAAAATGTTAACTTTATAATGAGTGAGCAATCTATTTTGAGACCACTGGTTTAAAAAGGTCATCATGAAACAACTTAATAAAAATTAAAAAAAACAGGCGTATTGCAGGCCTGTCTGCAAACATGTGGGTGTTGTCTGCACATATTGTGTTGACTACAGAAGGTGTGAAACCCAGTTAACACAGGAAGTTGGGGGATAGGTGTGCTGACCATCTATAGAGGGCCATGCTATTTCTGTCTGACTACATTAAAAGGTTTCTCTACATGATGAGTGACTATTAACAAAGGGAACTACCCTCTACACTACAATGGTATCATGTCATGCTGTCTGCTGCTGGATCTAGTTTCAGACCTGCAGGACCAGGATGTGGTGAGGATGGCAAAACAGCAGTGCGGCATCAGCAAAACCCTGCACACACCAAGCTTTCCAGTCACTCAAAGAGGACACCCTTTCAGTCACTTTAAAGCCTGGTATTGCAAACTAGATTGCTGATGGAGGGTGTACACAACAACTGAAGCGCAGCCAAAATCAATCTAAAATTAAACTTGTATTCCCTAAACTGTGAGGAGGAGATATGAGAAATATGAGCAAGCCGAAACCTTCCACCACTTATCCAAATCCTCAAATGTTCTACACCATGTTGCTATGACAATTTAATTATAGTCTATCATGGTTGCACTATTGTTTGTTTGCCTCTGTGAGGCAGTGGGAAGATAATGTGTGAATGTGAAGTGGTGCTTTTTGGCCAAGTACCTAATGTTTGGCTGTAGGAGAAACAGCTCTAGTGGTGAGTGACTGTGGAGGTTTCATAGCTGGCCAAAACTGTTCTGTTATGACTCATAGCATTAACCCTTTCAGCGCATAATAAAAGAAAGCACCATATAATTGAGACAAATGCATAGACTGTGATAAGACAGATCAAATTCGAGGTGTTAACACATGTATACATATATAATACATGCATACAATAGATCCATTCAGGCCTAATACAATGATAACAGCCCATTCAGCACAGTTTTAGCATTTCATTTCAGACAGACAGCAACTGAAGCCAAGTCAAAGAAAAGGAAATTGATCAGATTCAGAGAGAAGTGATTCATTCCTCATATGGTTATCTGAAACACCTCCTTTAAAAAACAATCCACCACAACTGTAAGTACACATCTACAGTATAACAACATCCTCAACAGGGACATTCTTATATCCAATCGGCACAGGGCGGAGAGAGCACTTCAGTCAAATGACTGAGCAGAATGTGTATGTTCCACTTGACCTGAGGGGTGTGCAAACATTTCTCTGTAGCTGTGCTCCAGGGAGCAGGAGTCCGGATATGAGTCTGACCCTGGATCATACGTGGGGGAAGTCAGTTATTACAGTGCAGGCTGGTGGTTTATGAGTTTGGTTTAAAATCCAATATCAGAACTACATCCAAGGACAACTTTCAGTCTACTCTGGTCAGCTCAGCAGCTGCACAAGTGAACCGTCCACATAACACCTCTTTAACGTCAAAACTGAGTGGGCAAAATAAGACAGCTGGTGTAATGTGCAGTGAAAATGTTTTTACATGATATTTGACTTACGGGTGACACTGGATATTGATGTGAAATATAGATTACTTTATTTCCCATATTCATAAAAAGGTAGAATATGGTGTTGTTCTTCATTGGCCACAGACATTTCCTGGGCTAGTGTGAACACTTTTTGTCCTGGCCACCACTGCTGGAATGTTTGACCACTGCAAACAGCAGAAAGAGCTAATGCAGCTTGCTGACCCAAGCGTGCTCTTTCTAAAACAATCTTTGTGGGGTCACAGTTACAAGAGAAATGCACGCACTGGTTAACCTGTGGTCAGGCTTAATAAAGGAATAGCACAGACTGTAAAATCAGTAAAATTAAGACAATAAACAAAGATAATAATAAAGCTCTAAGCAGCTATAATCTCAGCTGAACTCTGCTGACCTTCTCAAGTCCTTGGGATCTCAACAGAGCACACATAATGACCCCACAGACATAATGATTGCTCTCTTTGTGAAAGACTGATCTCAGTCATGCAGTGTAGTTCTGTGACGCTCACTGTCCAAGCTGTGCATTTGGTAAACACCGCTGCCAACGTTACATGACATCTTGGCTGTGCAGCCTTACAATTACTGTAATTACACTACAAACAATAATTTTTACAAACACATGGCATACAAAAAGAGACAACTCTGAAACACACCTACAAATCTTTACACGGATGCACACTGGGGCCACAGCTAACAGTTATTTTTTATTGTCAGATATCCTGTCACCTATTATTTTCATTAACCAATGAATTGTTTGATGTATAAACATTTTTTAAAACTGTACAATGAGGTACCTCAGGATTTCTCAGAGCATAGGGTGACATCTTCGCATGTCATGTTTCGCTTACCCAACAGCCCAAACCAAAAGATATAAAAAGGAAAAGAGATATGAAACCAAGATATGAAACTCCAAAAACTTGAGCCGCCGATACCAGGATTGTTTGATAAATGACTTCAATTAATGACTGAATAACCGATTATTAGAATTGCTGATTTTACGCCAACCTACTAGTCATTTCAGCATTGATAAATGTAACAACCATTTAAAAAGAATATTGTCTGTTTTCATTATTAATTAATCGGCTGCGTACTCTCTCAATTCATCTTTTGGTCTATAAAATATCAGGAAAATAGTAAGAAATGCCCATCATGCTTTCCTAGAGCCCAAGCTGACAAACATTTGCAATGACACAAAGACAGAATCAGTTAATGTAGGGCAAGTTTGTCTGTTTGTGACTTAATGGTTATAAAAATAATCAACTAAATGTATGCATGCCATTGAAAGGTTCATAAGAGGTTTTGTTTTACTCGTCTACACCAGGCAGACTACATCATTCGCACATTATTAGTGGAAATAATGCCACCACCTACCCTCATTTTCAGATGTTGGACATGCCACCTGTAGAACCAGATCAAATGTTCTTTCTGGATTCTCCCTGAAAAGAACAAAACATTGTTTACTCTTGTGTGTGTGTGTGTGCAGGGGGGAAATATGGCACAGCTGTTATTACACACACACAAACATGGGCAACAAGTGTGTATTCCGCATTAAGCACACATAAAAACTATTGAATTCCATCACATGTACTTTAATATAATAATCCTAATCATACATTGAACCTGCCCTACTTGAGTCACACTGTCAAACAGCCAACACTGTCAACAACAACATGTCACCCGGAGCTGAATGTGCTTTATATGAGAAGTTTTTCCCCCCAATCTCTGACAGTGTATCCGGACAAACTCGGCTGTCCACATGTAACCTATTTAAAGCTTGGCTAGCGGAGCAGCTAATTGGTGGTCAGCTAGCAGACAGGGCAACAGACTGACCCAAATGCTGTCGAGCCAGCTGGCTGTTAAATCCACTGCTGGGAGAGAGAGAGAGAGAGAGAGAGAGAGAGAGATAGCTCAAATTACGCTCAAACATTCCTTCGTGCTGCACATTTCCTCCAGCTCCCCGTAGTTTTAACGTTTAACGTTAACGGTGCCTCAACCGACACATTAGCCGTTAGCCTCGACGGACGCTACCGTGGTGGAGCAAACACACACGTTAACAAAAAAAAAACAGATAAACTCAGGAGGTCTTACTTTATTCTGCTGTCCATGGTTTTAGCTACAACATCGCGACAACTCCGTGCTGTCGGCTGGGCTCTGCTCTGCCGTCCGAGGATATTCTCCCCCCCCAACAACAACCTCCGTCCTTCCTCCGTCACTTCTTCTTCTTCTATCTGATCTGACACCGGTCGAAAAGCTGCCGCGACCACATGCTTGGAGGGTTTTGGGATGGTGTAGTAGTTCGTCCCTTCTGTCGTTAATGAAGCCTTTGGATCAACCAGCTCTCTCCCCCCCCTTCTTCTTCTCCTCCTCCTCCTCTAGTTCAGCACCACGGCGCTTTATTTCCCACAACAAACCCCACTCCAGGAAGTGCTGTCAAAAGATTTGGTGACGTCAACGCGTCAAGAACGCGCACCTTGCTCGCTGCTTCTGCGTCTCTGCGTCTCTGCCTGCGAGCGTCTTCTCTTCCACTTTAGATGACTAACCAGCGTGATACACACACACACACACTTACTTACACACACACACACACTGCAGACCTCAGCCGTGTGATTCATGCTTTTGTGATGAAAAACCCGTGTTTCCCCTATGAGGTTGCGTTATTAGTTCAATAATTGTGGCAGCGGTAGCCTTCAGCAGTGGCTCCCCAATGTGGGATCCTGGAACAATCAGGGGGTCCTTTGTGAGGGCTTCCAAAATTAAATGGTAACCTACTTTAAACCAGTCCTGAAAGAGGGGGGGGGGGGCTTAAGCTTGCCGGCTTAACATTAAATAACACGACATAAAATCACCTTATAAAGTTGCTATGGTGAACATGATGGTAAACAGTTGCCTGTTTTTGCATCCAGAACATACAGATTAACATTTTTGGGCTATTGCAAAGGCACCACAGTTAAATACCAGTGCCTTTCAGTGGGATTGGCATGCACTGAGTTTTGATCATGCCCAAACATGACACCTTTTGACACAGAGGATAATGTGGATGAGTGACATGCTGCGTTTTATGAGTGTGATACTTAAATACATACTTACACATACTTAAAATTGGGTATTTTGCCAGTGCAAATTATTACTGCATCAGAACATTTATTTAAGTTTATAAAAAAAACTTTCAATTAATTGTCTGATACAATTTCTCCGATATTGAAGTGTATTTTGTAGGCCTTAGATTGACCAAGAGCCATTTCATTTTGATGGCACATTTCTTAATGTAGACCACCGATCATACCTGCTATAGTTACATATGACTTATTGCTGGATTCGACACAGTCAGACCTTTCTAGCAAGCCCTGGTTGGTGTTTGTGGAACAATCTCAGCCAGAGCTACCTTAAAGTGAATTAATACATATATCATAGATCCTAATTCCATATTTACTTCTGTGTTTGTTGTACTGTATTTTCTTAAATGCATCAAGATATTCATATTCTGTTTATTTTCAGACATGTAGAGGAACCCTCTGCCCACTTCCACACCAAATCTGGAATCAGCTTGAGTTCAGGTGTATCATCTCCCATTGGGCATGGCTTTATTTTGCACTTATTTTTTTTATGGGGTGTGTCACAATATCTGTTAGTTAAACCACCTTTGCAGTAAAATATTGTTATACAAGAATCCCTTTCATATATGGGAGACCTTGGAGAATTTAGATAGCGTTGTTGGGCTTTTTTTCTATATATATATCTATATTTCTATATTTCTATCTTCCCTCTAGCCTGTTCCTTTGCAGTCATGTTTCTGGACAGCTGACAAATGTAAGCTCAATATTCACTTACTTTTTAGCCCTCTGTTGATCTCCACAAACTTGTATGGGTAATATCTGACTCTTCACCAGCTTTTCACCAGTTAGTTGCTATCTGCATCTGTCTGCTGTTTGTCGCTGGGCAGGTAGTGTTTATCAGCTGCCTGCTGCATCTGTGAACAAAGCTGATGACAGAGGTAAGAGAACCAAAACAGTAGTTTTAGGTCATTAAAACCATGAGAAGAGCTGAACAGAGCAAAAACTGTCTATAGACCTAGAACTACAGAGTTGGGTAATAATTCTCACCTCTCACACAAAACATAGGCCTAGTTACTTGATCCACTGTTAGTATAAAAATATTGATTAGAACGCTCACAGGTATTTTCTTCCACATGACTGAGTACATGAGTGAAAACATTTGTAACCTGATGTAAGTCTGGGCACCCGGTTAGCTCAGTCGGTAGAGCTGGTGACCCGTGTACCAAGGCTGAGTCCTTGCTGCAGCAGCCCAGGGTTCAAATCCAACCTGCAGCCCCTTGCTGCATGTCCCCCCCCCCCCACCTGCCCCCAGCTGTCACCATCATAAAGACAATAAAAGCCCCCCCAAAAAATAAAAATATGTAACATACACCAATGTCCTCTGTCCCCAGACACCCAGGCTTGAACTCCCATTTAATATTGTGTTGTCCTGTGTAATGTTGGCAGTTGTGTGCTATGTGCACTTGCACATAGAGCAGTTTTTGGGTTTGTGGGGGTCAATAGGAGCCCAACGACAAATAGCTTTTTTGGCCTTAACAGGTTAAGCCAGTCATTACTCAGCTTCTCAAACGTGGGTCACTCATTTAAAAAACAAGCATAGGCTTTTGACCAGAGAGGTGGTTAAAAACAGATATTGATATAAATGCTGTCATATTTCTTAACCAGCATCAAGTCGCACTTGAGCAAGGCACTTCAACTCCAATTGGGTCGAGAAGTGAGCATCTGAGAAGAAGGTTGTCAGCTTAAACTGTGAAAGTGAAGCAGCACTTACCCCTCATTGATTACCACTACTGAAGTGCCTTTGAGCAAGATCCCAACTACTTTAGTGGAGCTGCTCAGCTCAACAGATCAGACTTTGGTGGACAGTAGAAGACTGGCACTATTGCTTGACTTATACTCTGCATAATTATAGTGTGTCATATATAAATGCTACTTACTATAAGCATGTTAGACGACAGTCCGTGCATTAAATAAATGCTGAAATTGCAATAACCCCGTTGCATAAGCTTTTAGATTATGAAAAACATTGTGTCATATACACCAACCATGTATAGAATGAGCACACTGCATCTGACTTCTAAAATCTGCTTCAGCACTCTACATTAAATACATTGCTCATGAATCAGCTGAGTCATCGGCCTCTAAAAGTGGAAATCCACCCTAATATTATTTCTATACATTTGTACTTCAAACGAGACAGCTCCTTGTTTCATGAGTACAGCTGTAAATCATTAAGTCCAAACTTAGGAGATATATCTTAACCAGAGATCCACAGTCTGTAACAAATTATCAGTGGACCAGGTCCCTAAAGTGACACCTGATGACAGAATAATTTTATATCTCTTTATCTCCTTTTAAAGATAAATATTTATATATTCAGTGCAATGTAAATTCTGTTTTAGGGTGGACTTTCCTTTTATTGTTTGCATGTTTAAGCAATATTTGTCCCATGGTAAATTGAAACCAATGGCTTAGATGTACTTCTCTCTCCTCTCCAGAGAGTCTGCTGGATCAGAGCCAGATTTCTTCAGGCTGACTGGAAGGTAATTAAGTGGCAGCAGACTGGGGCATGCTGTTTCAGGCATCCGTATGAAATGATAATGGCAGGGCTGCTGCCTTAACATAAAAAAAGCAATATGACACACATACACACACAAAGAGACACATGCATAAAGCTCTCATGAGTCTTGGGCACTGGAAACCAGTGAGGTTTCACATTTCTGAGAACTGTAAACTGTAAACAGTCCCAGATCATATTAATTTAAGGGAAGCTAACACGGAAAAAAGAACAATACAGTGTCCCATTGTCTTTCTGGGGCCCTATTTTGAGAATGGCTTCAAACATTTGACTTAGCTGAGGTGCACGTGATTTATCTTGCTGAATTAAAATGTCACTCACAAGAAAATATTCAGCAAGGGCTCCCTGTGTGTTTTCAGTTGGCGAGCATGCAGCCTAGCCAAGATGTAGCCAGCAGTGTAGTTAATACAAGATCTTACATTACTCCCCTGGGTCTATCTGCACTATCTTACATTTTCAGGTTTATTTTTGCAGTATGTTTGTGTGCACAGTGTTTCTCACAGTAAGCACACATATATTTTTACCAGTGATGTGTAATTTGTCTGTGGGTAAATTGACCCCACAATGTCAGTCAAAAGACACTTGTCAGGTTTCATTACCCAGAATCCTGTAGTAGACACATCATCAGAGGTGGCTTCCAGCGGTGGATAACCTTGAAAGGACTCATTAATGTCCACTCATCAACACTGCGCTGCTTTGTCCAAGTTACTATATTACTTTAATATTGTGGGAAGTTGTCTTTGTTTGCACTGCAGTGTCATTGCAGCCAAGGAGAGCAAAGCTAGGCATTTATAAGGATGGCATGTTTCACACATACTGTAATCAAATTGGATTTAACTTTATTATCCAAAAGAGGAAATGTATTTGGTTATAGGTGCATTTAGCAGCAAAAAGATAACATTACAGAAAATACATAGTAAGTAAAACAATAAACAATCCATATAATCAGAGCTAAATGTCCCGGAACTGTACATGTTATTACTACATATATGTCATATTAAAGGGTAACAGAACAATTAAAACCAACACTATCTGCATGGCTTGATAACCCATACTAGTAGGAAAAAGTGAGCTATGGTTTTCATTTTGAGTGAACTTCCCCTTTAATTAGCCTTTAACTATGGATTTTTGTCTCTATTTTTAGTTAATTGATTTTTGCTGATCAATAACTGGTGGTCTTTATTTCATTTCATCACTTTAGTACCACAGTAAAATAAAACAATTCAGTAATTATGAATCTAATATTATATTTATTTATATATATTTATTTTGGCTGTGCATTCTTCAGCAAGTTATCCTCCTATCACCAGGGCCTCCATGGTGGCTGCTGTGAAACAGCAGGGGCGCTGTCTGTGTGCGCCGGTGGATCAGCGTTACGAGGTGGTCACATGTCACCAATGTGACGAGGCAAAGCAGGAAGTACAACACATTTCTGTGCAGGCAAAACTGAGAGGAGGAGGCATAAAGTAAACATGCAACATAGACTATCTTCAATAGGAACTAATGATAGAATGAGTCGTCAGTGTGTTTTCCTGCAACTGTGTATCTGTTTGCACACACTTTGAAAGTAGCTCAACTTTCTAGACTGTTTGTAAAGCACATAGAAGTTTAACAGGAGCATGTTTCACCACCCGCGTAAAGCATTTGTCTGCAGAGTGGTTCTTCTCCATGTTCAGTTTAATAAGCGACTCGTAACGATGTCAATACCGAATCTGTCAGAAGAAAAGTCCCAGCCGCCGAGAAGCAGAAGCAGGTTACAGATCAATGCCGAGAGAAGTGACGCGGTGACAGGCAGCAACGACCAGGCTGTGGGAAAGTTCACAGAGGAAGAAATGGCCATCCACAGAGTCCACAGAGAGGCATGTGAGGTAAGATGAGTCCCTTCTAAAACTTTAAATCCACTGATTTTTGTTCAGGCATTTTGTACTGAACATTATTCAGAATGAATGCTACTTACTGAGGTTTATTATACTGCTGGATTATTAATACAGTTGATTGGCATGTAAGCAGCATTTTAATGTTGCTTACATGTTATGTTGAGCTGATATTTTATTTACTGTTACTGGGTAGTATGATATAATATAACAATTGATTATATTAAAATCTACAAAGAGCTGCTGTATAAAGTCACTGGTATCCCCAAACTGCACACTAGTACAGTAATTGATTAATGTACTGTTTATATTAGAGTACAGTTGAGCACAATTAAACAATATTAACCAAATAATACTGATGCATTCTGTCAGTAGTGGACAAAATTACCAAAGAACCGTACTGCTACAGTGAAAATGTAATTCAGGTCTTTTAACAAGCTAAATCTGTTCATTCATTTTTACAGTATTGTCTGTTAATGCATGATTTTGAGGATTTTAATACAAAACAGGATAACCATGTCAGGAATCACATGATGAGGTGTTTTTTTTAAAGACCACCTTATTTCCATTTCCATTTCTAGCCAGCGACATGCTCCTTTGAAAAAAACAAACCCAATGTTAATTCCTTAATAGTACAAATATCCGTACAAATAATACCGGACCAATAGAAATATTGTTTATTTAAGCTGATATCAATCGTAGTGTGATTATACGCCAGCTGTGGTGCATCTCCAGAGCCCATCTGTCTGTCCCCAGGGCAGGGTTCCCTGTGGGTCCTTGCCACAGTGAAATCTTACTCTAATTTCTAAAAGTGAGTAGTGCGGTGGAAGATTTTTACTTTGATACATGGTTTCACTCTTTCCATTCTTACCTCCCTGACTCTAATATTCATTATTTTCTGAATCATTTATCAAGGAGATTGTGGGTAGATTATGCATATGTGGTGCAAAAACCCTGTCGAACTGTAGCCTGAAGATATTCTGGGAAGATTTTAGTTATAATTTTACTTCGAAGCATACCTACCCAGTGCTTTATACACAGTACATGTCATATATGTAATGATGACCATTGTTTTTGTCACATCCATCACATTCACCAAACCTTACTTGCTCTTCCATCAAACAGAGCCAGTGAGCTCCGTGCTGATGACAGTAGTGAATAGGTGTCATCTGCATGCCTTTAGGCGTATCTGTTGTAAATATTGTGCTTCTGAGTGTGGATGAAATTGAGGCAAGTTGGCCGCGACCTGAGGAGAGTGCTAGGGCCTGGGTGGGAAAAGCACAATACAGAGGGGGCCCAGCTATGCCAGCTTCACTATGTGCCCCTGCAATTCCATGTGAAATGACAGGCCGTGTCACCAAAAGGCCTGGGGCCTTTTTCCCTTTGTGGCCTGTCAAAGCTCACCAACTAGTGGGCTCTCAGTTTGAAACAGACTGAGAGATGACATTTTCTAACTTCCTAAGGGATGGCAGAGGAGTTCAGTGTTTTTCACGTACAGAAGGTGTTTGTGTGTCTACACAAGATGAAGGATCAGTCAAAATACAGGAATGTTTGTGTCTAAAATATGTTTTTTAAGCATCTCACAAATCTGTGGTGAATATAAAACCTATTACAGAGCTACCAGTTGATTACTCATTGCAGATTCTCACCTACTGAATTGCACACAAAAGGACAGCACTAATTAATTAGTAACATCATAAGTGTTAGACTGTCTTACATCTGTTTCTATGCATAGAGGTCATCCTTTCCCTCTTCTCCTCGACCCAAAGCAATCTGTCTCTATGTATATGTTCATATTCAGTATTATTCAAGCATGTGCCGTTGTGTTTGAGTGTGTATATGTACTGTATATGGTTATGTATGTGGGGGTCACACACCAGCATACGCGTTTTATGTCATGCTAATTAAATAATAATATCTTCATTATGTTCAGGCAAAGAAGCAGATGTATGTCGACCCTTCCAGTGGGTACAAGGTGTTCACTGAGTATGCCCACCTTCAGAGAGGGAAATGCTGTGGCAGCGCATGCAGACATGTAAGCTCTTTGTTTTCTCTTTGTTTATCAGGTTGTGTGTTTCTCCGCGTTGCGTTTGGTTCACTCCAGGGTTTTTCTCTTCATCTGGCCTCGGCTGTGTAGTTTTGTCCTGTCAAATCATCAAGTTTTTAAAAAAAATTCTTTCAATTCTAGGCTCTGTTTCCCAATGATAACTTACCTTAGATGTTAAGATTGTGTTTTATAAAAATGTTTCGACAAATGTTCTTGAAACATGTGAAACATCACATAAAAAAACGTTTATGTGCATTGTTGTTAAAAGAAAAATTTTGTCCAATCAGTGCAGATGTTAAATGTAGTCAGTGTGTACTATATTGACTGAGAATGTACGGTGATGAAGTTGGTGTCAAGAAATAACTACAGCATATTTCAGCTTGGAGCTGGAAGGTAACAATATAGCTAAGTCTGAAAAAGAAATGGTCACCCTGCAGGAATTACTTTACTTGGCAACGCTGTGTAATTTGCACCCAGCAGCTAACGTAGCCTGCTCAGTGGCCGTGGGCGTCAGAAGCTTGCGCACAGTGCATCCTGGTACATTTAGGCACTGTCTGCACGCCTCTTTGAGCAGGAGAACTCGGCTCTCTCGGTCAATCTAGCACGCACTGACGAAGTTATTGCTTCGTTTGACTACATTTACCATCAACGCTAAACCGACATCCACATAAGATGTGGCAAATTTTCCCTTTGAGAGCGTCTGAATATCAGCTGTCCATGGTGCTGAAAGGGATGATGAAGTAACAGGACAAATTTTTTATTGTTCAGTCAACACTCTGAGCTTCCAGCCTGCTTCATTCTGTATGATACATGTAACTCTGTGGAGCTACGTTCAAAAAAGTAACCTTACTTACGATTCTAGAGGTTCCTCAGTTAAGAGCAGTATCACCTATCGATGCAGGTGTTGTCATTCAAATGAACCTTCCTGTATTAGAACCTCTGTTAACAAAGTTGTCTACCAGAGCAACACAACTAGCACAAACAAAAAATCTGCAATATGGAAGGAATCAGTGGTAGATGAAGACTTGTTGAAGGCTAAGGAAAAATAATAAGGAAAATCCCCTCGATAATAAAGTCCAGTATAGACGACCATCATTATATTATTGCTGCCTTGGCGATGACACCCTTGAGAGAAGAAGGGGGAAAACAAAATCTCTTCTCCTCTTCCTTTTCTGATATTACTGATCTAACCTACAAAGGGCCAAAATATTAATCTGTTTAGTATTTGTGTTAAGTCGGGGCTTCTTTATGAGCATGACTTGTTTTGAACCAAACACCACATTGGCTTGAAGATCAATGAAAAACAGTTTTAAATGAAACACATAGTTCACAGTTAATCCTACAGGTGTTCAGACTTTGCACGGTGCTTCTAACCTTTTACTTGCTGAAGGGAATCGATCTCTAGTTTTTATGTCTTTAGTTAAAACTGTTTTTGTAAACACTTTGTAAATGGAGGTGGATATAGACACCTGGAATGGGTTTCATGACCACATTAGCCTCGAGATACTTTGGGAAACAGGGCCCCGTTCGGCTCACTTCACTCCTGTTGTGTCCTGGCGACACTTGTTCTAGTCTGTCTAGTCCACATCCTGTCCCATCCCTCCCTGTCCTATACCATCCTGTCTTATCCATTCTTGTCTTATCTTCTGTCCCGCCGTGCCCGATCCCCGTCCCATTCTGTCTCCCCCCGTCCTGTCCTCTCTTGTGTGGTGCAGTCCTGGTTTGATTCTGCCTCATACTGTTCTCCTTTTGTTTTACGCTTTGCTCCTCTGGCGTGCTTTGCTCTGTACACATGTCTGTGTCTTGTTCTCTGTGTGACTGAAGTTCTACTCCACATGCAGCCATTTAACACCATTTAATTATTTGATTGTCTCCTCTAGTGTCCATATGGCCAAGTCAACGTGAAGGACCCCGCGATGAAGAAACAATTTAATTCTCTATTTTATGTGTAGGCCTATACTTGACTTGAGGTAAAATGGGTATGTGTGCAGAATGGAACGCCCTCACATGTTGCTTATCTTCTGCCTGTCGTTATTTGGACTACTTGAGAGTCATTTTTTAGCAGTGTACTAAATGATGAAATATGGGTAGTGTCTGTGCAATATCTACCTCCTATGAATCACAACTATGCTCGGGATTGTTTTCATTCTTATAAGACAGGCAAGTAAGAGAAAGGATTTGTTCACTAGAACCTCATGTAAAATAGTCTTTTTATCATGTTTTGGTTTTGCTGTATTTTTTGTGATATTTTTCTCGAGTGTCCAATGAAATGCCTTGAGCTTCATCTTTCGGTGCTCTTTAAGAGTATTTAATATTTTGTGGTATTCCGCTCCTCTGATGCATTTACAAGGGTTGTGGGAGTATGGAGATGAAAACTGAAAGAGCATTTTAGATCTTCGCCCTCCAGATAAAGGGCATATAAGCGAAAGTAACCGTAGATAGTCAGATGGAGTCTTGTGCTCTTTTGCTTTGCATCTCTTGTTATTTTTTCTCCCAAATGTACCACTGCATGAATATTAGCATCATTTACACTCCACAAGTGCTCGACTGAACTGTCTACCTTTGACTGAAACACTGTGTTGTTAAAAATAGGCAGGGGCCAAGGGTCAGCCCTTACACTTGGCTGCTCTGCTTTTACACCACTTGATGGAATCAGGCTGTTAACAAACATGCCATGGACATCAACAGCAGCCCTCCCCACCGGACTCGCAGCTCAGCCTCCTGGCAACACTTGGCTACAGCGCAGCTCCCTGCGGCTGCTCTCCTGAGCTGCAGCCTAATGAACTCCTGGGCCCTCTTATCCCAGCACTGCAATAGATCAGCCCATGCTTAGACGCACACATGCATAGGCAGGCTTACTCCATCAGAACACCCTGTGGCTCCTAATAGGCCAATATAGAATAAAGGTTGCACTAAACACCGCACTTTGTAGCCCACAGTAATAGTACAAGGTAAGGTCAAGCGCTCATGCAGCACTACCTGTGCGTGCAAGAGATGTTGAGGAAAGATGTGCCACTTGATTTGTGATTTGTGAGTGCATGTGGGTAGGCAGCGCGATGCCTTCAGGCGCTGGCTGTGAACCTGCCACACACACTCGCCTGTCTCCGCCTGATTGGGCAAACAGCGTCAGGATGAGAGGATGTGTCTGCCGCGGAATTCTGTTGCAGCCGCCTACTGGCGCGGCCACAATTTTCCTCGGCAGGTGGGTCCCAAAGGCAAGTGCTTAGTGATCGGAGCAAAGCCCTGTGAGCGGCTACAAGGAGATTCATGATCCCAACAGTGCTGGGGAGGACAGGTTCTCGGGGACGCGTCGTCAGGCGGGATGAGAGGCGAATTTATTTGGTGTTATTCTAAACCGAGGCAGCGAAGCGTGCGGCAGCAACATTTCTACAGCGGGACGGTGAAGGTGTCACAGTCATCAAGTACCTGGGCCCGCTTGCCTGCCGCGGCTCTGCGGGTTTTGCCTAGGGACTTGTCTGTCACATTAAAGTAGATGCATTGCCATTCAGGGCCTCGGCGGTCCCGCAGCCTGACCATGAAATAGGCCAACTTTCATGTCTGCCTCATCCCTCCACGTCTTCCCAATCCAGTGATGGCACAGTTTGAAATGTTTTTTTTTTTTTTTTTTTTTAAATCATGTTCAACCTAGCAGTTGGTGACTGAGACACAAACAGCACAGCAATCCCTTGGACAGATTTATGGAGAGATTTACTTGAAAATCGACCCCCAAACTGGTCAATCGTCATATTAAAGTGTGTTTAGGAACAGTAAGGCTTGTCTAAGTGCATTTTCTTGTGTTTGTCTTATACTTCCACAATGAGAGAGCATTTAACTAGAAGTCTGATCATCCATGTTTTTCCTGTTTCTTGTCCTGCGGATACCTAGCCTTTAATTATTTGTAGCTAATTTGATTCTATTTGACAAGTTTGTAACATTAATGTCATTACTCAGAAAATGCCTTAATCGACCATATTCATGAATTAATTCATTTTGTTGAATTTGGCTGTATTATGCAATACCAGTAGAATGATGAAAAATGAAGAAATGTTAAAACTTTTATTTCTCAATATAAGCACACACACACACACACACACACACTCACACATGGTTATATTCCCTCAGTGCAGATGTGCTCCCAGGTTACAACAGCCAACCAGACATGTGAGGTGTTTATTTCAGGCATTTTGGACTGAACATCTCTGACCTTCAGCTGGAGCATATGCTGTGCTGGAGCAGAGTGGCAGCTATATACCGTGTGCCTTTCTACAGGACGATGGCACTAGCCGCAGAGAAAGAGAGAGCTGTCCAGTTTGGAACTGTGACCAGACAGGCTCTAGTCACAACCAGTTGACAGGCCAAGCCGCCCCTCCTCCCTCAGCCCCCCCCCTCCCTCCATCTCAAACAGGCACAGCAGCCCTGCGGCCAATGGCCCCAACCACAGTCAGTTACAGTGTCTCCATCACTGTTGGCCAGACCAGCCAGGAACTGACATAGGGTTGGCGGGGAAAAAAAACAACTTGAGTGTCAGCCGTATGATGGCTGAAAGGAACATCAGTCTCAGCAATTGGCCAGCCACTGCTTTGTACATTTGTGTGTGTGGGTGCACATGTGGATACGTGCACATGTGTCTTGATATTCAAGCAGCATTTGAGCAGCCCCTACATCAACGTCTGGTCGTTCTACACAGACAATGTCAGCTCGCCTCGGGGCAGCAGCCTCCGCAGTGGGTCATATGGACAACCAGATCCCTGTGGTAGAATTAGTGATAAAAAACACACATGGCCACTGAGTGACAGTCAGCGCACCAGATTCCTTTGGACAGACAGGGCTGCAAATAGCACAGAGGAGCAGTTTCTCCCTCAGACCGCAACTGGTGGTCAGGCTCATGCCAGGCCAAGTCGTGGCCGCCAGATGAGCCCAGATAAAAGGAGAGTCAGGAGCAGTCATATGCACCTAAGTGCCCAAGGAGCACTTTGGCCTGTTTATTTCCCTCCTGGTTTTACATCAATGCAGTCATATCTGGGATTTCTAATCTACACTTGAAAGACAAGCTTTTACACTATTTAACCTCAAACTTATTTTTTATGTTCTCTTCTGTCTTCAATTAATGGTTGAAGTAAGAAGAAAGAGTGTGTTTGACAACATAACAGCCTATACAAGCATCCCCTAAACCAGTGTGTCTCCTCCGAAAAGCCTAGTTTGCCCCATAAGGTTATATAGCGATAAAGAACATCCATCTATTATGTTTCCATGTCCTTTCTAGTGTGGCCAGATATGGACTAATACGCGCACCATTCCCCAGGAGGATACTTTGTCCCTAGAGGAGATGGAGGGGGGTGGAGGGTGGAGGTGGCGGTGTGCTGTTGGAGCCGTTCTGGAGGCAGGGAGGGGAGGCAGGCAGCAGTTGGTGTGCAGAGAGCAGAGGCTCAGGCTGGCTAGTTAAGAGCTTCTCTCTCCTATCCTCCATCTGCCAGGGACCGGGGTTGTGATTTGAGCTCCAGCAGAGCAGAGCAGGGAGGAGATCGAAGGAGGGGTGGAGGGAAGTAGGGGATGGGGATGGGGTTGGAGAGGGGGTGGTGGTGAGAGGTAGTGAGGGGGGTTGCAGGGAGGGGGAGCGTTGGTTGGAAGAGACAGAAAAAGAGAAAGTGGAAGAAGCAGGGAGTTGGAGGAGGAGAGGGGAAAAAGTGAGGGAGAAAGACCTGGAGAGAGAAAATAAGGATGGAAATGAAAAACAGCATACATGGGGATTGAGACGCCTCAAATATCTATTTATAGGCTTATTCTTGTCGATCATTATTTTTCTAAATCACTGTTCGACATTTTAATTCTAGGTATCGGCTATAAAAACGGTGCTTTGGTCATATTTCACTCCTGCTTATGCATTCTGATATTTCATGTCCTTCAGTAATTATGAATCCATGTCCACTGTGTGTTTGTAAATATTTCCAGGATGTCTCACCATCTTCTCACCCACCCACCCTGGCTCATGTGACTGGGATACATGTGACTGGGACACAGCTTTACAGTGCTTCACTCCTCCCTCTGTTTCCCCTCCTCCTCCTCCTCCTCCTCCTCCTCCTCAAACCCCCCCTCTCCCTTCCCTTCCCACTCCTCTCCTTCATTCTGTCAGTGTTTAGCCTGTGGTTCCCTGCACCACAGTGGATCCTGGGAGAGCCTTCCCGCCTCCTCCTCCTTCCTCTCCTTCTCCTTTTGCCTCCCTTTTGCCTCCCCTCTGCTCCTTTCCTGGACGTGCTTTTGGGAGTGACTGAGCGCTCCCTCTGCGAGACTGAGTGTCACTTGAGGTGACCCAGAAATGATAACTCCAGATGAACCCTGGATGTGTGGTAATCTAACCACCATGCCCTAGGAGCCAGGCAGCCAGGCAGGCAGGCAGGCAGGCAGGCAGGCAGGCAGGCAGGCAGGCAGACAGGCATCCTGGGCTTGATGCTGTATCTGTGGTTTCACTGTTGAACCAAGCATGCTGCAGAGCCTGTCTGGGTATCATACTCGGAGAATGCTGTGTTCACGGTACGTGTTGTGGTACACAGTGAAATGGATCTCAGTGCCGTTGCATTATTGATGAGATACATTGTGATGTCAGCCCAGGCGGAAGGAGCAGAGCAAAATGACTGTTAGCAGTATGGCACATGATCATTTATGCAACCAGTACAGAGGTGTAATTAATTGTCACCCTTTGCTCTCATCCCCAGTGCTCACTCACACAATATTACATTCACTTGGTGTCAGCTGAAATCCATCTATACCTCAGTGTTGGCCAGCGTGATTTGGTTTAGGACACCCTGTCTACTGGATGACCTCCAGTAAATATAAAATTCAAGTGGCGGCACCATGCACTTTAATCTATTTTATATTCTGTTATCACTTCTATTATTATTTAATGGTTTGCAGTCATGTTGTTTGGCCTGTCAGGTGAATAATAATCCAATAATGTACGAGGAAGTTACACCAATACAAATAAAAAAGAGAACATTATATAATAAAGTAATGAATATTTGTTTTACCACCTTAAATTAAGGAAATACAGCCTAATTAGAGGCCAGGCACAATCAAGCCATCTTCAAAGCATAAACAATATTAATATTTACTAAAAAACCTGACATTATTAAATAGTGGTAAATTTTTCATCAACCAAATTTCTTTATTCATTAGATGTTGCAACATGAGGCCAAGTGTGTGCTGAATGGTTCCTAGCTAAACACAGCCAACGCTGCATTGAATTTATATGACGTTTTTCAGCTGTATTCTTCAGGTGAGACAGATGGAGAGACATACATCACAGTTCAGAGGAAATGAAATATGAACCCAAGGATGAAATTATTTTGATAGTGTTGCTATATTTGGAGGATTCATTCAATATAACCAGTGGAAAAACAGAACCGAGACAGGGCATGCTTATAAGAATTACCTTGGAATTATTGTTACATAGAGCACTTTTTAACGTCTGTGCTGTTTTGATGGCTTTTCATGTGAAGATAAAATCTATGGTTTTAACTATTTGCCGATTGGTTTGGATTAGTAAACTCACATAGTTAAAAACGCGTAAAATTCCAAAATTATTTAGCACTTTTATTTTGGAAATGATTTCGATTTGTTATCAATATCAAATCGTTTTTTCAGGAGGCTCTGTGTCTCTGTGCTACACCTATTTGTCAGACTGATTGATCTACTTTGACTATGGACCTATGTACCTCTGAACCTCTGCTCTCACAGCAGTGAAATTACAGCTGTGAGCGCACTCAGTTGACTTGAATCTCATGCTGTATCAACTCATGCATTTGCGTTAAGTGACTGTGCATTTTGTGATTGTAATTTTAAGAGCAATATGTTGCTTTATCCCACCAATAACTGTAGCCTAACGGTCAGCTCGTCTTTTGGGGGTTCAAATATAACTTTTAAGTTCTGAATTCACATACAAAGCAAATGAAGACGTGGCGTTTAAAGAGGGGGGAAACAATCAGATTTTACTGAAATATTCCTAATGGTTGTTGTTTGCCATTTGGCGACCACCGACTCCAGATTATGTAGTTTATCCTTCTTTAATTTACGACTACATCACACATCCTACATGCTGAGTAGGCCATTGGCTCATGGCTGCCCATTTTCTGTGCGTTGTGTGTGTGAGTGTGTGCTGTGCTGTGCTTGTGTTCAGGGCTTGCCTGTGTGCATACGGGAGAGGAATATTTAAATGTCTCGTGTTTTAATTGACGCTCGAACTGGAACTGTAAGCTCAGAAACGAGGAACAGCCCCCATCTACCGGCAGCGTCTCCTCTGTCTCCTCACTGCGCGCAGTCCGGAGCTCCTCAGCCTGCGCGCTGCACAGGGATCTCTCACACAGCACTGCCTCAGGTAAGACCTTTTCCACATGCCTTCTCGGGAAAATTATAATTTAAGGCTGGCTTTTCTTTTTTCTTTTCAATTATTAAACAAAAAAATAATAATTTTTGAAAGAAGAAGACTGAGGAGCGCATGTGAAGCAATGCGCGACAGATCTGATGCATGATAAATACATATTATTCTCCGGGATGTGGTGGAAGGTGAACCCATCTAAACTCTCTCGACATATGTTTTTATTAACGGAATGCTGTAAATAAATCTAATTTCCCAGACAATCTTAATTATGTAAATAGGCCTATATAACACAGGCAAAGTAAGTTAATGCCAGTTGAACGGTGCTGGGCAAAAATATGACGCTTTTCTTAAAATGTATTTTTGTTTATTTCCATTGGAGGTCGAGTTAGGAGATTTTAGTTTCTTTATTTATGTGACAAAAGTCGGTGGCCCACTGAGCCACCCTGGGTTTAACACGCCATTTTAAACATGGTTGTTAACACTGTTTTTTTTTAATTTAATGTTTAAAAAACGCGTCAAAGGTTTAAAAATTGAGCTCAACACAGTGCATGCATAAGCAGCGTCTATTGTGTGTTTTTAAAAGCCTTCATTTGGTCAAACCAGATCGCTAATCTTAAATTAGGGCAAATCATTCTCATGCAACTAAACGAAAAATGACACAGAATCGCCAACATTAATCTTCTTCAATTTATTTCAAGCCAGCAATGAAATATGATCGGTAGCATACACAACTACATTGCATAATTAATATGATGTATTTAAAAAACAAAAGAGGACTGCCCGCAGTAGATATTGTCACATTTTTTAACGTTTTTTTTTTTCTTTTTTTTCCTATGCGCTATTTCTTGAATTGGCTTTGGTTTATCCAAAGGACACTGTGGTGCGAGATAGTAACATTTTTTTTTTAAAAAAGGGTCATTAATATATAGATTTAGTTGCAGGTAATACCCTAATTAGATCAGAAGAAAAGGAAACGAAACAAAACAAAACGACAACACAAAAGACATTATTCCCTCAGCACCTTGGTGCTCACTGACACATTGTTAAACCCTCTTCAGTCAAATGAAATGTCACTGCTGGAGGCAACGGGTCAAAACACTACTCCTCATCGACATTAACGATACGATAGATGCACATACAGTCATTTATATTTTTACTAAATAAGTCCACTTTTTGAGATCAGAAGCAGCCCCTTTTTTTAATTTTCGGAGAGGAGGGAGAAAAAAAAAACAAAAAAAAAAACCCAGCAACCAGATTAAATATCACACAGAGCTGAGTTGATCACTCCTCTCAGGGTGTCTTTGTCCAGGTGAAATGAAATCCGTGTGTCCTTTTTTTTTTTTTGAGTCTCTTTTGGCCGCTCTGTGTGCTGGTGCTGCTGAGACACTGACAGAGCGCAAATGAACGTTATGCTTTTTCAGAACAGCTGCAGGTCCAGTCCGTCCAGGAGGGTTCAAGCCTCGTCTTATAGCGCTGTTATCAAGGGGCCTCCAATTAAAGTCAACACAACTTCATGGTGGGGTGGGGGTGAAGGGGGGGTGGGAGGCGGAGGGGGTGGGTGCACATGATAATATAACACGTCTTGAGATGAAGCATCCACACCTGCAAGCCCCCCCTGAGCCCCTCAGTAAATCTATTAATGGGACCAAATCCGAGTCACAGATTCAGCCAGTATATATCTATTGTTTTATGGAGAAATGTTTCCAGAGACCATAGCTTGTTATCCGGATCTCAGCTGTAAAGGCCTGTGTTGTACAGACCTTTAGCTGCCTCGTTTTGGTTTGTTGTCACCATATTTGGCCTATGTACTGGACGGTAAAGCCATACAGTCTGCCTTTTAACAGAGTTTTCACACCCTTTAAAACTGACACAAATCTTTATTTGTAGCTTCACAGTCGCCTCAGTAACACAGCTATTTAAGTTAAATATATGGAATTTAAAAAAAAAAAAAACACGTCCAATTCTGAAAATATAATACACTTGGTGGTGGTTTCCCTGTGGTAACCCCTAACTGGATGTCTTTTTGTTATTTATTTATTTTTTTAACTACCTCCATATCACTCCTTGCTGCCCATAAGATGAATGAAATGTGCTTATGGTTGCGATCCTGTTTCTGCTATCACCAAGTCAGCTCTCCTGCAGGTAAACAAGATTTTGGCCTAATTCGAAGCAGAGAAAAGACGAGGGGCCGCGTTAATGAATGCTCGGCTGTGAGTGATCCCTGTTTCAAATGAGCGTTTTAATGAAGAGGAAATTGATCTTGCACTGAAAAGAGTAGTCTATATTTATGTATATTAAAAGTCTATTGTCCAAAGAGAATCGATATACTCAGAAAAAGAACAAACTCCCATTGTCTCGTATGAGTAAAGTGGTTGAAATGGCGTTTTATTTTTAACCCAAATGTCATTCATTTGTGTTTAAAAATTCCTTGTCTTTCAAATTGTTTAATACAATCTGTCCCCGCCCTCTAGCCTATCACTGATCACTGCCCCGCCCCAAACAATACATTTATAACACACACACACACACACACACACACACACACACACACACACACACACACACACACACAGAGTTATTATGTTATTCTGGGACACCAACGTGATAAAGAACGAATTAAAACCCCAACTCTGAAGTTTTAAAAATGTAAAGTCTCCAGCTCAAAATTAAAGTGGTTCAACCAGACAAAAACACGCCATGTAGGAGAATGAGTTATCCCTATTTCTGAGCCCTTTTAATAAAACTCTAAAGGATTTTTATGGTACTTCAGATGCATATTATTTGTTTAAGACATGTTAAATAAATAAAATATTTACACTCAATTTATTCTAAGCCCATTTCAGTTTATGCGTCTTATGACTACACTCCGGCATCCTCTCCTGTAAATGGGGGGAATAAAAGTAATGAAAATGTCAATACCATAAAATAGTGGTCCTTCGCGCAGCCAGAATCGGGAGTTTTTGAGGGAAGAGTGACAGCTCTTTGTTGGTGAATAGAAATCAGTGGCGGCGGAGAGAGAGAGAGAGTGAGAGACACAGAGGGAGAGGAGAGAGAGAGAGAGAGGGGAACTCCTCCTACCAAATTATTCAGACTGGGCAGGCTTTGCGGGCTCTTCACAAATAGGACACGGTTCTCAAATCCAGGCAGTCCCAACCTGACCTCCAAGCACCAAGGAACCCCTGACTGGGAAAAATCGGGAGAGAGAGAGAGAGAAATCACCAAAAAGAAACAACAACAAAAAAAAAACTTTGTGTCATTATTTTTGGCGAGTGTTCACACTGTAGCCCCCCCTCCCCCTCCTCCCTCCCCACCACCACTACCACTTCCACACCGGTTTGTCGCATCATTTGGACTATATATTTTTTTTCTGGAGGAGAGACATTTCACGGGAAGAAGGGGGAGAGAAAAAAAGCTGGTGCACCACCACCATCTCCTGTCCCACCCATGTTGTAGTTTCTTCGGTTTTTCTTTTTCTTTTTCTTCCAGTTGCCTTTGCACTCTGGCGAGGAGGTGATCCTGAATCTCTGGGGTTGTGTTGTTGTTGTTTTTGTGTGCCTCTCTCAGAGCCTCAGAGCCCATTTGGATGCGCTGAGAGAGCGGGGCGCAGCGCTGCAGTTCAGTATATGGAAGTTGTGGGCTGCAAGACAGAGGCAGGCAGTTGCACGTTGCGTCCAGGACCGGGAGCCATGCTTTTCCACGGGATCTCCGGGGATCACATCCAAGGGATCATGGAGGAGATGGAGAGAAGGTCGAAAACGGAGTCGCGCCTGGCGAAGGGCATGCAGCTCAACGGGAGAGAGTCGGTAAGAGCCTGCTCGACCTGTGTTTGAATTCATGTTAAAACTTAAACCATCGTCTCTGTATGAACGACGGCTGTGGCACCGTTAACCGTGCGAGGAAACGTAGGCTACAGTTGTTTTTTGGGGAATAAGTAGGAGAACCAGTGAGGAAGATTTGTCACTTTCTTCTTTGTGTTCAATTATGGAAAAATTATTGAGTTTAAGTCTTTATTAAAAATTAATGGATGGTTTACATTTCCTATTATTTCAGTAGCTTCTCGGTTATCTGCAGAAAATAATTTACTAAAAGCATAAAATGGCTGCAGCTTTACATGCAGTGCTCTCTAAATATATTTGAAATATATTTGACTGTTATTCTTGACATCAAATAAAATAGGCAATTGTAGTCTAAATTAAAGCTGTGATATTTAGTTTTTTGTATAATTGTCTAAACTAAAATTTAGCTATTTTACTTCAAGCAATTATATATCTACAAATAATTGTTGACAAAACACATTTCTGAACAAATTTTATTCTTATTCTTATTTCACCTGTATTTGACTTTTTTTATTTTAACTGGAAAAAAAATATATATTTTTAATAGGCCTGTATACAATATTTTAAATATGTTTCTCTTCAATATGATTTGTGAATTAGTTGTCTATTAAGAAAAGAGAGTGTAAACCAATAAAATGTTAAAATGGTTAGCCAGACACATTCCTGTCAGTCTCCTCGATATTCAGATAAACTCAGGAACAGTTCTTGGATAGATGGTGCTTACTCCTTCTGTGGGGCTGTGAACACACACCGAGCCTACATTTGTTTAACAGCGTGTTTAAAGTGCTCTTCAAAAGGCCTTTTCATAGATAGAAAAAAGTTTAATTTCACGGCCATAAAGCTACTAAAGGCCTGTTCTGTTTCTGCATAATGTATGTTGCATAAGATTTCCCTCACCGGTCTCTTGAAGGAATTAGTTGCCATGAGCTTTCCTCTCTCTCTCCCTCTCTCTGACTCAGACCATGCCTTCTATGAGCCCGGAGAAGCCTGCTCTGTGTGCCGGCTGTGGCGGCAAGATTTCGGATAGATACTACCTCCTGGCCGTGGACAAACAGTGGCACCTGCGGTGTCTCAAATGCTGTGAATGTAAACTAGCGCTGGAGTCGGAGCTAACGTGTTTTGCCAAGGATGGGAGTATCTATTGCAAGGAGGATTACTACAGGTAAGAAAAATGAAGGTTCATCACGCACGTAGTCTAAAATTTAGTCTGTGTCACGCACGTACGCACGCACGCGCTCACAGCCACCCTTGCACACGGTGGTTCATTACCGTTACCGGCTTTAATGCTTTTTAAACTCTTAAATGAACAAATTACGTTTTGTGTTGTTTTTTTTGGACAAAAAGCTTTTGTACAGCCACTGTAAGCCACGATTCAACAGGCCGTGGGAGCAATTATGTTAAAGCATTTTAGTCCAATTAGGCCTCATTCTTGTCTGAATAAAATCATAACAGGGGGCCCTGCATGGTGTTAATTGGAAATAACTTTTGATATTAAATTGTACTTTTATTTGCTCTGAGTGTAATGTATACCACATTAAAGGAGTGGACCTACACCATATATTTCCATCGTTTAAAAAAATGATTTACCTTAGTTGCTTTTGTCAGCATGTACAGTTACCCAGCATTCCCGAGTATGGAAAATAACCAATGAGACAAATTATCTTCCCCATATTTTAGCATACATTTATAAAGCCATGCACATGATATTATTTGCAATGCACTATAATAGTAATAACCAGTGAAATAAAAGAGATGCTGGTAAATGCGAAATGTGTTGTGTCCCACCATTGTAATAACCTATAGGCTAGTTCCGCCTATTGCCAACCTGTAGCCTTCAGTGTTTAATGTCAGCTGCATTACCAAGGGCGTATCAATTGTAGGTTTAGACTGACTTTTACTTATTTAAGAGAGAACATTTCAGCACATACAAATATTTTTACTCTAAACAAAAAGTCGCCTATCGAGCAAACCGTCACTGTATAGGCCAGATGTGGATATTATAGCTGACCTCAATATATAGGCCTGTTATAGTGGCTACAGCCATATGTATTCTACCAAAAGCTGTGTCACATACACACACCTTTGTGGCTAAAATACACAAAGACAAAGACACAAACTCAGTTGGCCTATTTTAACCAGTGTCAGTGCAGGTTATAATGTGGTAAACTCGAGCAGCTCCTCCGTCTGTGTGTTTTGTCCCATTTGGTCTCTATGTATGAGGAGTCTTGACGATTTGTCTGTTCCAGAAGGTTCTCCGTGCAGAGGTGCGCGCGCTGCCACCTCGGGATATCGGCCTCGGAGATGGTAATGCGGGCGCGCGACTCCGTGTACCACCTGAGCTGCTTCACGTGCACCACTTGCAACAAGACGTTGACCACGGGCGACCACTTCGGCATGAAGGACAGCCTGGTGTACTGCCGGCTCCACTTCGAGACGCTGGTCCAGGGACCGGACTACCACCCCCAGCTCAACTTCGCCGAGCTGGCAGCCAAGGGCGGCGGGCTCAGCCTGCCTTACTTCAACGGCACCGGCACGGCACAGAAGGGAAGGCCGCGCAAGAGGAAGAGCCCGGCCATGGGGATAGATATACCCAGCTACAACACAGGTGAGACAGCATGTTGCTCGGAGCAGGGCCTAGGAGCACACACACACACACACACACACACACACACACACACACACACACACACACACACACACGCTTACATACATATTAGAAAACAGTTGTAAATAGTCTACATTTATGTTGACGTTAAGCTAAGTTTCTCGTTGTTAGTGTGCTGCAAAAGTAGCTATATATCATTAAACTGTTTGTCCTGTAGGCTATACTGAAGGGACAGGCCCAATGGGGACACTGACAGTGAAACCTACAGCAGAAACACACCGAGCTTTTTACCTAACTGTTCTCTGCTCTGTGAGATTACTGTGAAATTAAAAACTAGGCTTTTCTTAATGTAGATGAAACCCTTTTGGAGCCCACTGAAAGACCCCGTTTTGGTCCAGTGACCCTAGTTTGGAGCATTTTGCTGCATTGTGATTTATGTGTTGTTCACGGTCGTCGGACTTTGCTGACCAGAGAGTCCTCACATTAATTTAAATGTTTACTGTTTTTAAATATGGCAGCATACATTGTTAATGTTAAATCAAATCACTCACAAATAGACAGACAAACAAATAAATAAATAGATGGAATTAAAAAAAAAAAAACAGGATAGGTTTGTTTCCATTATGCAGAAGACACTCGCTTTAAAATCCAGACGGTTCCTGAATGCCCCAGCTGTAACAGCCGCAGGTCTACCTTACATGTCTGAAATGAATATAATCTGTCCTGTAGGCAATGTAGGTGAACATCGCCTGAGTGTAACTGCGCCCGTAGCCGTGGGGTAATTGGTCTGCAGCTTTCTGTCCACGCGTCTTTAACGCACGGTTGTTGTGCTTTAAATTGTGGCGTGTGTTGCACGTAGAAGGATCGAAATTTGACCTCGCAGTCAACTTGCTCATCGGCCTTTATTACTAAGAATTTCGCTCGAAATAAATGTGAAGAATGGCTGTGGAAAAAAAAGGGGGGGGTGTAAATGAAGTGTGAGACTAAAGTGGTGTCCAAAACCATGTTCCTCATGTCTTTTGACTTTTTGTGAGACAGAAAAACCGTAATCAAGTGAACATTAAGCTGTTGTTAAATGTAGGTTCCATCTAAAATCTCGCATTGAATTGCTGAATGTTATAACACGACCCCCACCCCCCCCTGCAGCGTCCCCATTTTGTTGTCGCTTTTCTGCGAATTAGTGTGCGGTTGAGAAAGTTTGTCATTGTGCGCCAAGTTTCCTCTGTTCCTGCTGAATGGGGAGGAATAAGGGTAATCTGCGCGTTAATTGTTCTTCGTTAATTGAAGGTGACGTTGGAATCCCTGGCCTCCTGTGCGGCGGTCAGCACAGTTCTCAGGGACAGAGCAGCGCCGTGCAGAGGGGCCTGCTGCAGGGAGAGGCTAAGGGCTCAAAAACACAGCACTGTACAGCCAGCACTCCGGTTCAAGGGGCTTTGGTTTGTTATTCGCAAACACAATTCCAAGAGATTATGCAAATCCCACAGTTCTCATGGATGCCCTCATAGAAAAATAACTATTGTAGCACTGTGATTTTTTACCCTCCTTGTATATAGGATATGCCTAACCAAGCGTTTAAATATAATGCAGCCACAACAGGTAAAAAAAAAATCTCACAAAAAGAAAGTTCCACAGAGAAAGACATAAGCTACAGTAAAATGACGTCCCTGTGAACTCATTATTACCACAGGCACAGTAAAGGTCCCAGTGGGAATATTATATTTTTCACTTGAGATATTTAAAAAGAATTTAATGAAATAGAATATTTTCTAATTTATAAAGACTGGCTTCTTTAAGTGACATGCCTCTTTTGGTTTGTTTCTGAAATGTTCTAATTATGTGATGCATTTAGGATCTCAAATCAACCCATTAACTATAAATAAAAAACACATAGAAAATAAAAAATAACATTAATTAAATTAGTGAACAACCAAAAGATTTAGTCTAGCTATTTTCTCTTTTCCGAAGTGCTCTTTTTCCTGTGTTGTGCTAAATATCACAAACGCACCTTTCTCATTACAGTCTCAGACTGTTCAGTTTAATATATCGTTCTGCAGATCAGGAGACTCATATTCATGACAAATAGGATGAGGTTTTGTTTGAGGTTTTGTTTCTGCTTTAGCGAGCACATTCATGTTAGTTCTCACCAGGGAAAGGTGTGGGTCTACTGAGTATTCCACACTGCTCTGTAAAGTTTGGTCTTGTTTGGATATAGAGACCCCTAGTGGGTAATATCTAGTGAAACACAATCCAGTGAAGGCTGGAACAGAAGAACAGAGATGTCAATGATTGTCATATTAATGGTGTGTGTGTAAGCGTCTGAAGAATAAGTCTCAAATAACAAAAAAACATAATTCACACCATAACATGTAGCGTAAAAGAATGTCACACATTTAAGCCATAGTTTATTAAATATGTATCTGCCTTATTCAAACTGATTTGTAATTTATAACCCAATAATTTATTTTTGGGAAAGTGCTTGCACTGCATCCTTAATATGAAATGTTGGTTTAATTCATTACTGAGAAAATCAGCTGGTCAGCATTTCTGTTCTGTGTCAAGGAGACAAGAAAATCAATACAGCCTACTATATAATTTAGAAATCCTATGCTTATACTTTGCTGGCTAGATTTCTTCTCCTTTTGCAGTCACGTAAGAGATGAGATCTTATTAGACGTGTTCTAACATAAATATTAGATTCAGTAGAAAAATTCCATCATCATTATCATGAAATGTATTTCGCTGTATATTTTGGTTGCAATCATATAAATATTTGAGAGCCAGTCACATGCTAATTTACCTTTCAAATATTTATTTGTCATTTGAATTTAATATGTCACAACCATATAGATTGTAAAATGATATAATAGTGAAATAAAGCATTATGATTTTTTTTTCTTAATGCAATGATAAATGTTTCAGCTGCACAGTTTAGCCAAACATGCATTTAATGTAGGGGATCCGTTTTTGCGTTTCACCATCTTTAAGTATTTTACACATGCAGTACTAAGCTAGTGACAAATGAGGCCCATTAGGCCTATTAGTCTTTGCAAACACAAGCAGAAATAATTTAGCTTGGTCCCAGTGTATGGTTAAAATACATCATTTTGCTTTGAAATCTAATAGCACAGATTATATTAAAACCGCAATAATTACAACTTCGAATGCATTGCAATATGTACAGATGTTAAATTAAATTCAGTTTAGTTAGTTTAATGGGTTTCTTGAATGTCAATAATTTGCACGTTTTAATTGTATGGGATAAATATACCAGAGTTTCTATATCATAGATCTGTTAACATGGCCAGTCAATGGAAACGTATGGCCTTTCCACAATCAACTCCATATGTGATTAATCTAATATACTTAATTGTGTCTTTTCTTCCCTGCTCAACCTGACCATGTAACATGATATTTAAGTTAATATTGAGCCTTAAAAGTAGCGCAACAATTCATTAGTGACCGTTCCTAATAATTAGATTAAAGCTGTTTGCTGATTTAAGTAACGTTATCTTGATAGTAGTGGAGTGAGCTGCTTTATTATTAATTGAATTCTGATTCAAAAGACTAGTATTTTCAAAAATGTTGGAGTTGAAAATGTTTTGTAGTTGTCTCTGTCGTACCCTGAGCCACCCCTGTGCTCTGCTCTCTGCCCTTTCAGGCTGTAACGAGAACGACACCGATCACTTGGACCGGGACCAGCAGTCCTACCCTCCAACGCAGAAGACCAAACGCATGCGGACCTCCTTCAAGCACCATCAGCTGCGGACAATGAAATCCTACTTTGCCATCAACCACAACCCAGATGCCAAGGACTTAAAGCAGCTGGCCCAGAAAACAGGCCTCACTAAGAGAGTTCTACAGGTAAGCAGAAAGCCATTCTTCTTACTGATCTGATCACCCCATATCTGTTTGTGCACCCCACCACTCCTCCATGTCCCTCTCATTTCACACCAATATTATCATTGAAGTCATCTCTTTGATTTTGTTTGTTTGGTTGGTCCATTTAGTCATTAGATGTATATCCAGGGGTATTTACCTGAAATTTTATAGTTTCTTAAATGTTATTTTTTTGGGAAAGAGAGGAGTAAAGTCGTTCTTAAGCGTAGAAACTTAAGTGTAAAACTGTAGCTGATTATTAATAATGAGAGTGCACATGTTCATTTTATCTGTGGAACAGAAAAGGGTGTAATTCAACTCTCACAGATAAATAATTTAAAAAAGACAAGATTATTGTTTTGACTTGCTAATAAAATCCACATTCTTATATTCAGTGTTCAGGAGCTAACTGGTTCATTGTTATCTGCCCCATGAGCACAAAATAATGTATGAAGATTGCCATATAAAGATTTATATACATAAGGCAAGGGCAACTTGATACAGTAATAGCTGTGATAACTTGATATGTAAACTACTGTACAAATGATTTGATACTTTCTTTTTAAAAATTAATTCTAAAAACAAAAAGTAAAAGCCACATTGGGATTGGTTTGCAGGTTTGGTTCCAAAACGCAAGAGCCAAATTCAGAAGGAACGTTTTGCGACAGGAGAATGGAGGTGTTGATAAGGCTGATGGCACCTCACTCCCTCCACCCTCATCTGACAGTGGGGCGCTGACCCCCCCCTCCAGCGCGGCCACACTAACAGACCTGACAAACCCCTCTATCACTGTAGTGACCTCCGTCACCTCTAGTTTGGACAGCCATGATTCGGGGAGTCCTTCGCAAACTACCTTGACAAACCTTTTCTAAGAAGCTATCTCTAGCAGACTGATTTTTTTATATGATTTTATTTGTTTTTTGGTTTTTCTTTGTTTTTTATTTTCTTTCCTCAATTTACATTTTATTTTTTTAAGTGACACCTTTAAATCTACCAGAGACAGCTCCTTGGAACAGAAAGTGCTGTACTGTGTACACAAACAAGAACAACAAGAGCAAGAACAGCAGCGACCACATTAAAACACAAGGAAATCATTTTAATGTGTAGCATTTGAAACCGCATGGCAGCCGTGTCTGTAGTTGACTTACAGTATGCAGAGATTGATTTTGGACATTTTTGAAGATGAAGGCATAAGAAAATTGTCATGGACTCCACAATTCATTGGAAAAAATAACTAAACTTGAACTTGTCTGGAAATCTACGTAGATCTTTTCCTTGATTTGACTTTATTTGTACATTTGTATTGAATTATGATAAAATAAGCCCTACCTAATTTATGGTTAATTGGTAAATTTTAAAATAATATGAATATTTTGCCCTCAGAAACCTGTATATGTATGCACTGTGTTCGCACTATCCAATTTAAAGATTTTTTTTTCTGTTTTGAAATAATTTGGGAAATAAACTTGTAGAATGTTCTGTATATGGATAACTCCAGAAAACAGGCTTTAATTATTTCCGAATGTTTCGGTCTTTAAGACTGAGTTGGATGGAATCAGACATTGAAATATCTCACAGAGCTACATGTAAAACATCTAAATTGCATTATAAGCACCTAACCATTGCAGCTTGTATGGCATTTAGATGCTGAAATCGCATACGTTTTTGTCTTGATTCACAAATCTACTGTGATAAAGAGAAAGAAGTAATTCCTACAATCTGTACAGTGGTAACTGTTCAACATGTAATGCAGTCCCATAATAATCAAAAAATCAGCAAGAGAAATTTGGATTGGAGAACAGTTTATGGACACTGTTGTAATCGATTGTTTTCAAGACAGAGCACTTTCTCGGAATTGTTGGCCTCATAGATTAACCGTAGTCAAATGGATAAATCCTAGTAAACATATCCATAGATCCACAGCTAAACTCAATTGCACAGTGACAATATACTGCCCAGTGAAAAGTGCATTATTGTTTTTATCATGTTGCTCAGGGTAACGATGTGATTTTAAAAAGGGAAAAGGAGTAGGGGTGAGAAATTAAGTGGTTGCGACGTTGCAGACTAGATTTGTAGAGCTGACATGAACATTCAAATGACCTCAGATAGGTGGAGTCGTAAGAGGCAGCCAGTGGGAAATCATTGTCCATGTGTTCTCCTTTTTGGCCATATTTATACTTTCTTTAATGACACTTGCCACTGAACAGACCAAAAACATGTTTCTTCTGGCTGAAAGAGAGAGAGAGAGAGAAAAGAAAGACAGAGCAAATCTTCAATGGAGTTGATACATTTCATTGTGAGCGTCACAATTTGTTCTATTGTAGAACAAAGTGGTACTCTAAATCTACTTAATGAAGTAGATGCCTAACTCAGTTCTACTATGTGCCTTATGCTATAACTTGGGAGAAAGTTTGTGAAATTCAGGATATATGTGTTCTTTGTTAACTGATTCACATCCTTTTGACGCCTCACTAGTTTTGTACTGTTTTGCATCTTATTTCCGAAGATCTTTTTATGGTGTATCCTGTTAAAAAGGGGGCAGCGATGTCATAGAAAGCATTTGTGCACTCTTTCAGATATAGTTGGGTAATCCAAGAACCTTATATATTGATCTTCGTGTTAATAGTTGAGTACAGTAAGTGTTCTATCAAGATTGTCCATGTTTCCCTGTTTCTTGATAAAGATGGTGTATAGAAACTATTTCCCCTTAAATATTTATGGACCAAACGGTTGTTATATATCTTATTAAATTTGTGTGAATAAAAATACTTTGCTTTAAATGGGTTTTATTTTTCATTACACTTGCCATTTTTGTGTTCTATCTTGAATACAATTTTTCGTTTATCACATCAACAAATGAGAAAGCATTCAGTTACTAATGACCAGCTAAACGTCCTCATTTTTGCTTCCATTTTTAATTTCTATTTCCTATTTTATGATGTTTATGGTTTTTAACGTAATGCCCCATGGATTTGCATCTAATCCCTGCAGTCAAAAATATGAAATTGCTTTTTAATGCATGAACATGGCTTTAAAATTTAAATCAAAGGAATGCTGCAAAGCACATATTGATATATATCTATATACATATATAGTATATATTTATGCATAACATATTGGTAAACCTAAAATGAAGTAAGAGTAAATGCAGACCCCGTAAAGCCAGGTTGCTCTGTAGTTAATATATTCTTACTCTATCATTTCTTTCAGGGAGAACAAATCTTGGGGCATTACAGCCATACATCCCGACGTTTGAAAATTCCCTAAAGTATTAACAGAAGGGGAAAACTTTGATGGGAAATCCTCACCATTGAAGACAAAGACAATAATAGGATAAGATGATAGCATATTGAGAACAAATAAACAACCAACATAAAACCTGTTTCAGTTGCAAATGTACAACAGATGATTTTTTTAAACAAAAGTTTGTCCTGAATGTTTGAATCCATCAGCGGAGGAGACCCCACAATGTATGATATTTATGATATCAATGTGAAAAAAAAAAAAAAATCTTTCTGTATTGGAATGGTAAATGCACAAAAATGATAATAAATGTATTGTAACATAGTAAAAAAAAAAAAAAATTACAGAAAGGTACAGGATGTGATGATGAACAGGCATCCAACATGACAACAGTGTGAAACAGAGACGGTATGGATGGTACTGGTACGAACACACACTTATACACACAAACCACACCACACACACACACACACAACCCTTTCCCACTGCCTTACTCCTATGTAAGTGCAATATATACATTCCCACAATCTTTGTTCTCCACCATACACACTGTTAACAAACGCACGTACACAATTGCACACACGCTGCTGCCCCCATGCACCCCACCCAAGAGTCAGCTTGCTAAATAGAAGTTTTCTTTTGTCACAAGTGTCATTTCGTAAACACATGGCCTCCTTGAAACTCGGCAGCAGGATGCCCATCAAATATGATGAGTGTATGAAGAGGACTGCAGAGCTGGAGCTTTGCCATCTGGCTGTACCGAGGGAAGGAAGTGAAAAAACAAAGCAGATAAAGAAGAGATTCTCATTTTGCATGCGCCTCATCATCTTGTTAACATTTTCCTTGAGATGTATATTATTTCCTTTGATTCATTGTATGATTCATTGTCAGCTGCAAAATAAAGCATATGAAAATGATGTCCCTGATGCCCATATAGTACCTCACAGTGGGAAAAAAAACTGTTCCTATAGATTATTTATAGTAATACAACAATTCTTTTCAGCTCTATTTCACTCAAACTCAAAAAATGGATTTAAATATATAGTCACACATTTGCATACATAAATGTTTTCGCAATAAAGACCAAAAGTAAATCAAGCAATGTCATATATGACACATGTAGCAAAAGATGGACAATGTAACATACAAACTAACAGGCAAAAACATGATTGCTTCAGTAAGTCTGTTGGTAGTGTACTGTCTCATTACTTGCTGCATGAATGCTGGGTATGTATGCCATGTAAAGAAGGTGTGTTAAGGAGAGCAGAAAAAAGGGAAAGAAAAAGGAAGCGGAAGGAAGGAGAGAGGGAGGGAGGGAGACTGAAGCCACATGGGGACCAGTAAACAGGCTGGTGTTGAATTCCAACAATGTGGGAAACAGCAAACACTTCAGTCAGTCCAAGAGGAAACCTCAGTCGCTGGGGTGTCTGTGCGCTGTGGCAGCAGGGCTATGTTCCCTGGGTCTGATGGGAGGACGGTGGGCGGGTTGACACCACAGAGCTACAGGAAGCAGGGCTGGAGCAGAAACACAAACAAACACAGTGAGCCCTGCTCAGTTTTGGAGCTGCGGGATGAAAATTCTGGACAACATCATGGCCCTGTGTTGACAAGAATTTCAGGGGTTTGCTGCTGGGCTGTTGGTGACTGGAATGCATCTTATCGGTGTTTGTGTAAGCAATGCCGGATCAGCCAACTTCTTGCCAATTGGATTGCTTCACCCTATTCCAGGTATTTTGTTCTTTATTTCCAAAAAATATACAGGAAAAAATACAGAGAGTTAAATGATGTTTCCTTGTGACTATATTGCATTTAAGCATTTGAGCAGCACGTGTATATGTGGTCTATTACCTGACTGTAAAACCAGCTGCCATCAGAGTGAGATAAATCACATTTTTTTACCCTTAATTAATCTCAGTGTAAAAACAGAGGTTCACTAATGTCTGTCTGTGCAGAGACAGGTAACAGGTAAGAAAGGAGGGCTTTTACTAACTGACTTATCTCCCCCACCTGTTAAATGACAGCCTCTGTGTACCATGACTGTACAAAAAACAATGCTCTCAGTGCTGTATGTTATCTGCCATACAAGCAGTTTGTTGCATAAAGCTTTGGTGACTCTGATATAAGTTACACATAAAGAGAAAGATCTTATATGCTCTATCATCCAAGTACCCCCTGTAAAACCTGAGCAGAAAGAAATATGCAGTACAAAACAGCAAATATGCAGGTTTGAATTTTGACATAAATTAAACTCACAAAGAGGTTCAAATAGTGTTCAACATAGTTTGACATTTAAGGGCCCACGAGCAAGAAATATTCATTCCCATAGGTTTTGTCCTTTGTTGCACTTAGATAAGTCTGTGACCCAGATAAGTGCCAGTTCATCAGGGTGGGGATTTACAAACCTGCTCAAACTTATGACATTTGCTACTGAGGCCTGCCTATTTCGTCAGGTCCGCCTGAAAAAATAAAATGTTTTACATATAAATGTCAAATGAAAAACCAACTGCAAGGATAAGCACTTTACTATGCTGTCATCACAAAAAATGTTATGGGGAACTCTCCAGTGTCCATTAATCATGTTGACGTCAAATATTGCTCCATGACAAAAATATAAACCAATCCAACAACACAGTATCCTACTGTCAAAGATATTCTTAGCACGCACAAGGTTTGAGATGAACTGAACTAAAACTGGGTGCAAAGCAACATATGTGTGGATATTTGGATAAGAACAGTTGTGCTCACTGTTATCGGCAACACCTGTAATTCACACTACAATTGACAAATAACTGGATAATGGGGTCCCTACGAATGATCAGCAAACTCCAGGAAAGTGTGTGTCCGCTGGCATACACACACACACACACACACACACACACACACACACACACACACACACACACACACACATTCATGGTCACACATACATTACCACACATTATACACACACTGTGACAGGCGACAGGGTCGAAACAAAGTATGGAATGATCACTGAGGCATAGGCCACACCTGCAGTTTACATGTTGCTCTGATAGTGTTGTTTCTATTGTCACGGCTTGTGTGTGTGTGTGTGTGTGTGTGATATTCTGCCAGTTCCGCCTCAGTTCCCTCCTCTCATTGCTAGGCGCCTATTTAACCTCACCTCACACACCAACCACCCTGCTAACACAAATACACACTGGCACTGGGACACACACAAACACAGACACAGACACACACAGGTAGATGTCAGAGGGGTGACGATGTGAATGAGACACAGCTAAACTGCTATGTGTGTGTGTGTATTTGCTGTACGTGTGTGTGTGTGTGTGTGTGTGTGTGTGTGTGCGTGTGTGAGACTGAGGCCTGCCCCGCTGGTTAATGCAGAGCAGGTGGAGAGATCCTCTGTGCTGGGTGTTTGCCAAAAGAAGGAATACACCAACATATACACATGCAAGGACACACAACACACACACTAAAACACAACACAGACACACAAAAAAGGCCATTGAAAAACAGATTTTATAGAGTGATCTAGGCAGAAATAATACGCCGTTTTGTCAGTTTTGTCCTTCACATTCTCACAGACTATCTCTCCTGTGCCTCATTTGCACAGTGCTCTCCACACGCTATAAATCCTTTATTTCTCTGTTGTGCTGTTATTCTATATTTACAGGTATTTGTTATGTGACGGCTCACATCTAGACAACCTTGAAAATGCTGCGATCAAGGCTGATAACTACCGGTTGCAATTGCACTTTGAAGACAAAACAACATTAATTAGCGTATAAAATGGAAATGCAAGCGTCACATGCACGCTGCCTCCAAGTTCGCCTGGGTATATGAGGAGAGAGACAACATTTCAGACATATTTCCATCTGTAATCCCTTTCTCTTTTCCTCTGATAGCTGTGCTCTCTGAGGTACATAAACAGGAAGCTCGTCTGCATTGATACGGCATGTTTCAGTGTGTGACAGGTCATCTTTGTACTGGCGGAGTGTAACCTCTCAGTTCTTGCTAAACCTTCAGGATGCACGCAGCTCCTCTCCCCTCCATCTGCTGGTCTCTATGAAGTCTGCATCCGATCACAGGAGCTTTGACTGCAGCTTCTGTCTCTACCACATTGCAGTCATATCTAACCCCTGAGCCAGATCAACAACACAGAGGGAAATAAAAAAGACATGTGAAAACATCAACATTTTTTCCTTTTTAAGTGTTTAAAGTGTGCTTTCAGCCCCTAGGTGCAACATTTTTTGCATATTTAGCAATGAAAACCCAGGTAGAATAGCAACAGAATGTGTATGTTGAAGAAAACAAAAAATAACTAGTGTGAAAATGATTGGTGTTGTTGACGATATAGATACATAGCACTTTTAATAATTGGAATACACTGTTTTACTAATGATCTGAAATTAGCCCTTTTTCTCTGTAGTTAACAACGATTGATTTGGGCCTAAAGTGCTTCTAGATATTCTCTCGTGGTGTTCATATTCGTAAGCAAAAGACATTAACGGCCAAGTTCTTGTAAATTCAGCTTAACTGTCATGAGCTTACACTTGTTGGCAATTTTGTTGAGAAAAGGGCCCAAAATATGAGCTAGAGCTTCTTCCAACACATCAGAGTTAAATGTCACGTTTACAGTAAGTCTCTATAAAGCATCTCTATAAATCCAACGATTCAACCTACTTCATTCCCCCTGCAGGGAGAACCTTTTCTCTCCTGGTTACCTGCAAGCGACACCAGAAAGTTTGAAGGGGAAGAAAAGAGTGAAGTAGATGACAATACTCTCTTCGTGCTAAAAAAAAAAAATCCTTGAATCAAAAGGACATCCTCTCGTTTAAATAAACAATATCAGCAAAAAGAACACAAAAAGTTTGCTATTGGTTTAAAGCACCAGATCAGTGCAGAGAGCCACTTTTGGAACAATGGAAATTCAACACGATTATTAAACAGTTTTCTACCAAACAGACGTAGAGGCATGCGTGTTGAACTAGAGGATCTCTGGGTGCAGCTCCCCTCGCAGACTGATGCATTACTTTTCATCCATCCATCTAATTATTCCCTCAGAAACCTGAAATTTGAAGATACAAAAGACCGTCCCTATCTGTCACTGAGCGCCATTGATCTTATTGAAAGAAAATGTGGGTGTAGAGGAAACCCAATATAACTCATGCCATTAAATTCCACACAGCATTATTCACATACAGAATTGACAGATTTCTGTGAGACGTTTCTTTTAATCTTCAACTGTTGTTGAAGAAAAAAGGGTGGAAAATCCTACACTCCAGGCATCTCTTCCTTTTCCATATTTGCAGTGAGGTTAACAAAAAAGGCTATTGAAGTAGGGAGGAAAAAAACACAACCCCACCTAACTTGTTGATTATTAACAATGGGGAAGGGAAGAAGACAGATGTGTTTCCTGTGTATCAGCTGTGTTTGAATTGTCAGTCGGAAATCAGCGCTGAAGCTTTTATCAAAGCAAAGTAAGCTGATCAATTCCAGATGCTCTCGCTGTCCATGCGAGTCAATCCGCAATCCCATTTTTGTCAATAAAGTCTCCTGATATTCCCAAGTACAGCTTGCATGTGCATATGTGTGTGTGTGTCATGGGGATGTGTGGGTATTCTGCATGCATGTGTGTAATGATAGCAAGCAAGGCTGTGTGTCGAAGTGTGTGCACGTAACTGTGTGTGTTCAGAAGAATCCATTAAGCCTTGGCTGCCTCTCCCTCAGTGGTTGAAGGTAACTATGCATGTTTACACATCAGTAGGACTTCAGTCAAATTTGGACATGCAGGATTTATTTCCAATACATGCCAGTTTATACTTCTATAACACATTTCAGGAGGGAAATCTACTTTTTACTTCAAAGTGTTTATCTGAAAGCTATACGTACTAGTTACTTTGAAGCTCAAGATTTTACATACACACAAGTTGTGTGACACAACCATCGGCAGTATATATACAAAACATATGATTAGATTATGAAATATGATGCAGTTTAACAGATAAAACTACCAAACACTTTATAAACTAGTTTAGTTCAAAGCTAAGGAAAAAGATATTAAGTGGACCTTGATTTCTGACTGGTCAAATGACTATTTCCAAGGACAAGAATTAACTTTTACACTAAAAATTGGATTCATCTTAACCAGCTATAAAATGAAAATGCTGTTTATACAATCACCTATAAGTAATAATTATGAAGATTGTGCAAAGCTGGGAACGGCCCCCACACGACGAGTTGCCCGAAAAGCTCCGAGTTCAATGCATATTGTTTTTAGGTTATTAAATAAATTGAAAATTTCACCAGTGAATTTGAAGCTCTAATCTATAACTAAGGTTGGTCCTGCATTATTGACCTAATCTTTGTGACCTTTTGTTATAGAGCGTCACAAAGTGAGCTGCACAAAGCTAGTAAGTGGACCTTGAGCTAAGATGTCTTTGTCCACTGTTTTCCAAGATCAAGAATGAACTTTCACACTTATATATTAATTACTTCCTCTCAAGTTAATAGCATGGAAAATGCACATACACAGTGAACTGCCTGAGGAGATCCAGTCAGTCGTGACCCCTTTTAAATCTCTTCTGATTTTTTTATTGATTGATATTTATTGAAATTGTCTTTAAGATCAGCTTGTTGTGAAGTTGTGAAGCACTTTGAAACCCAGGTTTATTTTTTTATTTTTTCCAGGAAAGTGCTTCCTAAAATAAAGGTAACAATTCATGGGAATAAGAAAAACTAAATAAAAATCGCAATGAGGCTTGTGAGGATGGTTTGAGTTTTGAGTTTCTCTGTTGAATCTCGCGGTATTTTGACAACTTCCCTCCACTGTTTGACACTTGCCCCTCCCCATGCGCTCCGGGAATGCTGGGTTGTTTACATTACTGGCACACGGGTCAGCAGTGTGGCGATGAGAGGGGCCTAGTGGAGAGACTGTCTGAAAACACGTACACATCTCTCGACTGGCTCTACAGCACACAGGCTCTCTCTCTCTCTCTCTCTCTCTCTCTGTCTGACAAAAAAAAAAAAAAAAAAACTTTATAGCGCTCAGGCAACAGTGCCACGCAAGAAAAAAAGGCCCGACGAGTCGACTCTCTCTCTCGCTTTTTTTTTTTTTTTTTTTTGCGTTGGAGCGACCTTGGAAAGAAAAAGAGAAAGTCAAAAACAACAGACAACCGCCATAACCATCAGGAGAAAGTCTCAACGTGAAGAAGGAATAGCTCAGCAACAGAGTCCCACTTCCTGGTAAGAGCCGAGAGCACCGTTAGCTGACAGTGAACTTATGAAACTCTACTGTAACATTGGACTGTACGAACCACTTGTAAACTGCTTTACACCGATACTTTGACTTCTTTGGGAGTTGACAGTCTCCACAAAGCTCGCAGCTGGTCCCAGTTTGGTGTGCCACAGCGATGTTGACACTCGCTGAGGGGGAAAAAAGTTTCTACGAAGTTCGCTAGCTGACCGTAGCTTAGCCTGTTAGCCCACTAGCATGCTGCGTTGTTAACTTTCTCTGGCTTTGAAACTTCACAGTCAGCCCCGCTTGTCATTTAAAGGTAACAGTGGGGTTGTAACGTTGTGATTATAGTATGCGAAAGGGCAACTTTTCTTCTACGTTTAACATCGTAACAAAGCCCCTGTGTGCTGGTTAAATCTGGAGTGGAAACATGACAGTAGCCATGCCTTGCTACAGTGTTAAGTTACATATTATTTGCATAATTACTTCCTTGTGAGTCCTTACGTTTGCAGCTGTAGCTTCTCCTCTTTATGATGAGGCTGAATGTCTGTCATTGCTCTGTATTGTTGCACTCTGGTTTGTTTGTCTGTGCAGTGTTGAAATGTTTTTGTGTCTGACTTTGTGTAATTATCTAATGTAAACTTTCTCTTAAGTGATATATCTGCCACAGGAAAACATTCATCCAGCTTTTTACTTCTGGATTGTGAGAGCCAAACAAAAAGAGTGACATATCCTGACACAGAGTGAGTGCAACAAATGACATCAGGCTATGTTATCATAAATCTACAGGCCTGTAGGTACACACTTTTGTTCCACATCTACTTGATTGAGAGTTTCAAAGTTAAAGCGCTTATGAAGTGGACACCTTTCATGTGCTTCTGTGTCCTATAAACTAGTTTACATACTACAGAAGTTGCAGACTTAAGTGCTTCATGCTTATTCCCAAGTAGAGAGCAAAAGACCTCTGGGAGTAAACACATACAAATACAATGTATCTGCTTAAACTAACCTGAACGTCCACTCTGCTGTCCAGCCACAATCATTGTTGATTAAAATAAAAGTGCGTCGTATATGAAAGATGGGACACATTTAAAAAAATAAAATAAAATCAAATGATTAAATACAGCCGATGAAAGTATCATTTAGGTGATCAAATATTTTGATTGGCAACTGGATAATGTTGAATTAAACTGCGACGTGCTGACATCAAGTGATGAGAGTGAAAGAAGTGACTTTGACTTTTGTTTTGGGCTTGAAGACCAGCTGGAAGTTGAGTGTCTAGGGTTTATGGGCATATAGAACAATAAATCTAATGAACAATAATGGGTTTAATAAATAATCTTTAATCTTTTGATCATATCATGTCTTAATAATGAATACAAATGTAAGAGCCAATAGATCAATTATTTTGGTTTTTAACCAGTTTAGTTCCAGCCCTCACTGATGTTGAAATACATAATAGTTAGCAGACTTACACAAGGCCTCCTCTGTATTTCTCAAAAACCATTACACGCGTTACAAGTAAGATTTCTAAGCTGATTTTCAGTGGAAATTGAGTCTGTGTGCTTACAGTTAAAGTGTGTATTGTTTCCACACTATCTCTGCCTGGAAAAAGACTTGGCCTAAGTGCTGCTTCCAGCTGTCTATTTCACGCTGTTAAACACCATAGGAGTTATAGCCTGGAAGACTGGGTTTATTTAGAAGGGAACTACTGGTACTTTTAAAGACACCGTTTATTTGAATGAAAAAATAAATTGAAAATGATTTTCTTTTCAGGAAAAAAAACCAACATTTTTCTTGTGACTCACTGCTTTTTTAGTGAGTCAGAACGGTTATTGCAAAACCTTTGAGTGATTGCATCTACAGTTGATTTGAGTGGACCATTTTGTAAAGCTCATCTTTTAATAGAAATAAGCTTTAAAAGATCAAGTAATTAAGGAAAAAGAATAAGAAGGAAATACAAACCAAAGGCAAGCAGAAAGCAAGAAAAATAAAAACTCATACAGGTATGTAGGCTGAGCCTCGCCTCTCCAAGGCCTTACTGTTTTGGGGGTCACACAAAACAGTAGTTCGTGCCATGTTGCTGTCGCTGCCTATCACAGCCAAATAATTCAGGCGTCATACTATCACGTTTGGCTACGCTGCAGAGAGATGATTCAGACGAGAGTTAGTGGAAACTGACATACCTTGTTGACCTAATTATTACTCACTTCTCTGTTGCCACATTCGATCATCGTCAAAGACAACAGGCTTGACTCTGCCAGCGTCATCAGGTGATGGAGATGAACACCGGCTGGCTCTGTGAAGTTGACTATCAAGGAATGTGTCACGAACCGGATGATCAGCAAATGGCTGCCAAATGTTTGCATCAGTCTCTGTGTAGAGGGATTTCTGCCAGTGTATCCCGCTTTGAATTTCAGCTGATGGGAGGTGGATTACTTGTGACAGGCCTTGGCAAAACTTTATTATTTTGCCTTGTTCTGTTGTTTGGATTAAACAAGGTTAATAAGGGTAGTAGACTAGAAAGTGGTGATAGCGGCGTTGATCAGTTGTGTTTAGCTTGATTGACTGAAATAAAAAAATAGAAGCACATAGAAAGAGGAATCTCACTATTTCCCTTATGGAGTTATTTTACTGGATTATTGGGCACCGATGATGCCATTATCACGAGAAAGAAGAACGTAGGTATATTTGCAAGGCTTTTGCTATGATTTAGCCCGGGTTCATCTACATACTGTACATGTTGGCCTAGGCCATACATACTGTATCTTCTTTTTTTGTTTTTATGGCAGCTAAGACATTCAGATTGAGACCTAAAATGCCGCTCATTGGTGTGGAGAAATCTGCTGCACCCTAAGCAGTGATTTAGCGCAGTGGAATTTACCAAATGGCTCTATCCTGTGAGAGTTTCCTGTTTTAGCCCTGGAGCTGGCCCCTCTGCCGGATTGAAGATCAGATGAGACATTTGTCATCTGACCACTTTAACAGTCATCTTGCCTTTGGGTTTCACAAAGAACAAAAAAATGTTAGCTTTTGTGTCTTGCGTAAAGCATATTTGTAGGAAGATGCTTCCTAAGGCCATTTTTGAGCTACATTAAGCACTGTCTTTTGCATGATGTCACAGACCTTGGCCAAGCATTGTACAGAAATTATGCTGGCAAAGGTAGCAGATCACTGCTTAGGATATAGTCTTGTTTGGTGTACTTCCTTTGTCATTAGTTGTTGTACTATCAAACAATTCAAGAACAAGAAAAATAAAATACCGTCTTGATGCCTTCCCGAGAAGAATTTAAAATCGAACCTTTTCTTTTCCATGCTTTGGTTAGAGTTTAGAGTAAGGTCTTTGGCAATGAGAGCGGGCTGTCTAAGCAGCTTCTTATACACCCCTCAAACAGCCAGCCAGTCAATATTTTTCTTATCCATCCCCCGTTCTATCTTATGAAGGGTCACTGATGTTTCAAGCATTCAAATATCCTTGGAGGATGCCTTGCGGCTCCCCATGTCACGTGAAAGTTCTCAATTTCACTGTGGCATTGATGCCTTTTCTCAGTGGGCTCAGTTGTGCTCTGGGGGGAAACAGACTACAAAGACATGCAAAACAAAAATTACTGACCTAGGACCCTGTTTAAAGTTTATGAAACGCTTTCAGTGCCCCTAGGTCACTTCATGCCATGACCACACAATATCAGTGGTTTCTTTCACTGCAAAGGGTGTTGGAAAAAGGTTTTACTCAAGCTTTTTGTTTGTTGGCTCTGAAATCCTGCTTTATATGTAACAACTCTATTTATATGTTTTGGATTTATGAACCTATTACAGTAATGAATAAATTAAAAGCAATACCATGAAGCCTTTTTCCTACTTCAAGAGCCTCTAAGCAGAAAACAATTATTAAAAACAAAGATGAAGATATAAATGGCTTCAGTACGCCTGACTTTTTAAAGTGCACACTGGGAAGGCCCACTTAGAAATAATGTTGTTAATTTATACAGAAAGTGTGTAAAAATTTCAATATTTTTGATGTATTGACTGAAAAAGCATGCTGTTTGCTGTTTGAATAATTTGGAGATACTGACTCAACTGAAATAGCTGTGTAATGTAGCTGTTGTAGTTATTTTTTACACTGACTCTGGGGCCTTCTGACTGACCTTTTTAGTCAGGCTATTAGTGGACTAACTGCAAATACATTACACTGTAGATATCTAATATCTATAATATATGAACTGTGTCTGTAGGTTACTGCATGTTGAGGAATAAGCTGCTGTTTGTTGCCATCTAAACAAAGCTACCAAATCCATGTTGGCATATTGTGAACTGTGCTGGAAAGCAGCATCATCCTTCTTTTTTTATTGGAGATCACTCTCCAATTGCCCCCTTTCCCTCTCCATCTCTTTTGATTATTTACACGCAAAAATACAAATCCCTCAGGATACAAATTCACTTTCACAGAATAATTACAAGATGCTATATGCCACTGTAAACACCACATCAGTGACAGTGACAGTATACATTTGTCATGAGATGAGACAAAAGCAGAATGAATTTGCACTCAGGAACACAATGAGGGAGGAAGATTTTTTTTGTGTGTGTGTGTGCTGCTTGCTGACTGTGCTATGGGCGTTTGTTCCAGTCTCATCACAAATGAGTCTTAATGTTTCACACGGGATTTGCTGTAGAAGAGAGCAAATTTGTATGAGAGCATCTTGTTTTGACAGACTGTCTGTTTTACCCTCCCCGTTTTCAGTGTGAAAAGCCAGGGACATTTCACTGTCTCCTGTGCGCTTTTTTTACATTCTGTTTTTTATTTATTTTCTTGTGACGTTGCGAGTTGATCTAGGACTAGGGGTCGGCTAAGGTATTCTTTAATTAATCAATTTAAATTATGTAAAGCCATATTCTGTATTTATTGTACGGTATACCAGCCGTATACTCTCGTGCACTCTGTTACAGAACTGGAAATATATGTAATGCATTGTATGGCAAGCGAATAAACTGCTAAACCGTGCAAGCA